TGCTCTTTCTTGCTCTGTCCCTCTCTGGTCAAATTAAAAAATAACACATAAAGTTAAATAATTTTTTAACCAAAAAGACAAAAAGGATTTAGGTAAATAATCTGTTGCATAGGGAGGTTCGCTCTGGAGCTATGAGAGCTTGGGACACAGCTGGAATTTTAATGATGTCAAACTGGCCCAGACTTGCTGGCCCAAGGTACTACATTTTTGAGGTCGAGACTTTTTTTTTTTTTTTTAATAATTACTTATTTGGTTTTATTTATTAATTTCCTATAAGAAACTTGTGCTCAGAGACAGAGGGTGGGAAAGTGAGAAAGTCAGTCACCAGATGTGGGACGCAAAGCATGGTCAACCATGCAGGAGTCCAGAAACCCAACCACCATACCACCTGCTGGCCCCAAAGTCAAAAGATTTATTTTCAGTAATTTTCACCAAGGGTGATCTTGTTTTCAAATAATGTTCCCTGGGCCAGCAAATGGCATAGACGATAAGGTGGCTATTATCTCACATGGCCAACTTCCCAGTTTAATTTCCAGATCTGGAGGTTTAAAGATCACACTGGGCGTGTGTGCCTGCATGTCCACAATCCTGAGAGGAGAGTGGAGGGAGAACAGATTGCACTATGGCTTCTGCCCTGTGGAGATGATTTCTCACTTTCCTTCTCTTTCTGTCTCTCTCTGCAAGTGCACATGCCCTACAGCTAAAAACAAAACAAAAACTCAAAAAAAAAAAAAATTGTTCCCTGCACCAGTCTTGCAGTGCTTTGAGTTTTCTATCCCAAATTCCTTCCTCAAACTTTTTCTTACCGACACCAGTAATAGCTGGATTCGTAAATATCCCCTTAGTGCTTCATAACCTGTGAAGGTGCTAGAGCAGATGTGAACATCCTTTTTACATACCGGAAAGTGAGACTTGCAAACAGATGCAAGGGCAGACGACCAATTAACAGCAGACGTAGAATTCAAAGCCAACTTTTCTAGCTCTTAAAAACCTTTGCTGACCAGCTCCATGGTTAAGGACTACACAGAGCAAGTTGGATCCTACATGGTCCATCAGGGTTTGAGTCCTGGCTCTGGCAGCTTGGGAAAATCGTACCAGGCACATGTGCACCCAGGACTCTGACAGGGATAGACACATGAAGGAAAAAGGGTTGTAGCATGACTGGGCGGGCCCACTGCGGGGGATTCTCTCCCCTGTGTGAGCCCTCTAGCACAAAAAACTCCCTGCTCCTGTCTTCAAAAAGTATACCTTGTTTTTTGTTACAATCTATGTATTGTCTTTTCAAGAAACATGCTCATTTAACCTTTCAGCTATTTCCTGTATCAGTAGCTCAAATTAACTTTAATGAAACATTAAATAAAAAATGTATCCATGTTTTCTCTGGAACAGTTACATAAGTTCTGCTTGAGGAGGTTCTTGCTGGCTGGCAGTTCTGTTCTGGTAGGGCAAATTTTATAAAACTAAGGGACTATTAATACTAAGTTTCAAAAACTTTATTATAAAAAAAGTCTAACCTCTCAAACAATGATTTTTTTTTCCTTAATGGCATATTTTATTTTTATAAAATAATTATTTTAATATTTCCAGAGAGAAACACAGAAATTAGGAAACTGAGAAAGGAAGCCTACAAGTCTGGGATTCAAACCCCGGTCAGCCATGTGGGAGTCCAGTGCTCTTAACCATGCCACCTGCCAGCCCCCCCCCCCTTTTTTTTTCTCTAAGAATTATTTTACTTATTTATTTAAATTTGATCAGAGAGGGACAGAGAAAAAGAGAAAGCAAGTTACCAGGTTGGGGACTTGAACTACCGCAGTCAGCCATGTGGGAGCCCAGCACCCTTAACCATCATGCCACCTGTCAACCCCAAGCATATTTCCTGAGGGTCAGATTTTTTAAAAATGTATGATGGTCTTTACTTACAACTTTATTGGCAAAAATGAAGAGGGAAAACTTGAAGCGGCTTACCCAAGGGCACTGTTGTTGATCCTGTCAGATTAAAGGGTTTCCATTCTACGTGTCATCTATCAGTAACTGTCCACAGACAGTGCTGGGTCTCCATGTGAGAGACAGGTCTCTCAGACAGCCCTGGGTCTCCTTTATGAGACACAGGGCTCATATGTTAGGCAGTCCTTTTTGTTTTGGTGTGCTCACCAGAGAGAGAAATCGCCCCCCAGGGGTGATGGCCATGCTGCAATCCCTTTTCCTCCACTCTCTTCTCAGGATTTTAGGCATATATTATACACAAGCCCACGTGCCTGGTTTTCTCAAGCTGCCAGGTCCAGGACTCCAACCACACAGCCACATGGGATCCAGCTACCCTCACCACCACCCACTGGCTGGCCCTTAGGCAGTCTTTTTTTTTTTTTTTAAAGTTTTGAGAGACTTTTTGCTATTGGGCGTGTGTGCTCACCTGAGACAGAAAGTAAAAATCATCCTTCGGGAGATAGCCATACACAATCCCTTCTCCATTCTCCTCTGGGGATATGCACCTAGCATTAATTTCAAGCCGCCAGGTCTAGGGCTCTAACTGCAGTTGACTACATGGGAGTCCAGCGATGTTAACCATTATGTCATCTGCTGGTCCTTCTTAGGCAATAATTTAAACATAAATACAGGGGCCAGCAGATTGCATCGTGGTTAAGGTACTGGACTCCCACATGGTTTGAGCCTCAGACCCAGCATCTTGAAACTCATGCCAGGCACATGTGTGCCCAAAATCTTGAGAATAGACTGTTGTGTGGCCATCCCCCCAGGAGGGTGATTTCTCACTGTCTCTACTCTCTGGCAAGCACACATGCCCTATGGCAATATCTCTTAAAAAAATAAATACAAAGAAAATAAAATCACTCACTAAAAACTGCATCAAAAGAAGGACATTTTTAAATGTGTTTATGTTTGTGGTAATAACATGCAAAAGGAAAACGAAAAGCTGGAAAGTAGTTGCATTTCCCACCTAAGTTGACAACAATCAAACATTTTCTGCAATGACCATTATATTTTCAATTTATTATTAACTACTCCGAACTTACTATGACATACAGTCAAAGTCCAAAGAAAGCCCATAGGGAGCATATTCCTTTTTTTGGAGAAGGCTAAGCCTTCCAGAATCAGCATGGGAAATAACATCCTGTTGATTCTAGTAGGAAAAAATATGTAGCCAATTTCAACTCATGCTGAGGTGGCTTTTTTTCACTTTTTGTTTGGTGTCAGTCTTCAAAATCAAAAGTTTAATTCTTCTAGTTCACCCACATCTTCTCCAGTAAAAGGTTTTTATCAACAGGAACAGCATCAAGAACTCCACTTTCCTGTACCTCCCCTTTGGTGGTGTCTTCCACATCACTTCTTTTACCATTTCAGCCCTACTTCCAGAAGCCTCACTTAACTTTTCATCTTAATCTGAAGTGTGTGTACTGAATCTTTCAAGACTGGTCACAGTAATGTCTGTCTCACCTCCATCTGTGATACTCAGTCTTAAATCTGTCATTTATGCTCATTGAATCATCAACCTCTTCACCACCTGTTCCCTGGCCATGACAAGTGTGTCACTGCTTTGTCCCCGTTGACCAGTTTAGGATGAAATTTTAAAAAATATGGAGTGCTTCAGGATCTGTATGTCATCCTTGCCCAAGAGCCATGTTAATCTTACTGTACTGTACCAATTTTAGTGTGCATGCTGCCTGAAGTGAGCCCTGGCAATGGGTTTTAAACCATCTTTGCTGTATGTTTTGCTTAGAGGACAAAATACTGTTTTTCTCTTTGTTATCTGGACACTGGCAAGCTCCATGACAGCTATTCATAATTTATCTCTAAGCAAATAACCAGTGAGTCTATTAACCTACAAAAAGTTTATGGAACGTGTATGTTACAAAACTATGCATGGATTTCTTATACCAAAAGAAGACTCATTCTCTCCTCCCATTTTTTTTTTTGCCACAGGGTGTGCTTGCTAGAGAGACGGAGAGTGAAAAATCACCTGTTAGGGGGGGTGGCTATGCCACAGTCTCTATTCCTACTGGGATTTTGGGCATGCAGGGCAAGCACACACATTCGGTG